GATAGATGAGTCTTTTGAGTCTTTTAAACTCGTTTTGTGAATAAACACATCATGACAAGCAGAATAATTCTCTGTGTTTTATCTATGTTGCTTTTGTTAGGAGTTGAAGAATTGAAGTTTTTTGCTGCGTGATGTTTCATGTTTAGCAGTGGCTCATTTTCAGTACTCCTTCAGTCGTACTGTTGTCTAGCCAATTGTACACCATCTTACGTTTCTGCATTTGTTTTTGTCCAAAACATACAACTTTTTTTGGTCTGTATTGAATTTCCTTTTTGTTGATTTCAGACCATTACATCAAGTAATCAAGATCACTCTGAAGTCTAAGGCTCTCCTTCTAAGAGTTTGCCACCATTATGGTGTTGTCTACAAATTTTATAAGTTTATTAACTCTTCTGTCATCCAAATTGTTAATGAAATTATTGAATGGACATGGGTTGTACCAGTCTTTTCCCAGTTGCATCAGGAGATAGCTTAATTTAGAATCCCACAAAATATATTCCCAATTTTGCAACAAACCCTGATCAGCACATTTTTTTTAATTTATTTTTTTTAAACAACTACTGCACCCATATATTTGTAATTAAAATTACATTGTATCTCCTTGTTTTGCTTATGAGATTGTCAAGTGACATAGTGCCAAAAGCTCGTGTATCAATCTGTATTTTTTATTGATTATGCTTCTGTGTTTCCCAAAATTTTCATGATTTTTTGAAGGTAATTCCAAAGGACTGGAGATTGAGTAAGGTCTATTAATGTGTCTTAAATATAACATATCTTAATGTTTCCAGAAATTACTTAGCTCATTCTTCCCTATTCTCACCTACACCCCCATCTCCTTCTTAAAATTTAGTCATGGTAATATGGTTAAAATTTATATAGTATGGTTCCAATTAACATTTTTTGAAAGCTAAACAGTGTATGATCTGTATTTTTTTTCCATTTTAAGAGGTATGTGTATTTTCTAAAATCATCTTTCTTATATTTAGAAGCCTTTCTTGCTGCCTTTTTATGTGAGTTCCAGACTGAAATGGTTAACATGGCTGCCTTGATTTTTATCCTTGCTTTTTTTTATTCCCCTTAATCATGTGTTCTTTTTCAACTTCTAAAAATTAAAGAAGAATCGCACAAGGTTGTTGAAGGTTCCTGATGCATAGATAACTCTTAATTTTGTTAGCTTCTTTTTCTGTTTCAGGGGGAGGTTGTGCCATTAATACTAATTTTCAGTAAGTATGTCGTCTACTGCATTCTTCTGTCCTTCACTTGATTGCCTGAAATCAAACCTGATACTGTGTCTCTTAATTTGTTAAGTTTGCATTTTTTTGGAAGCTGTCTTTCTGGTCTGCTCAATCTTTCATCTTCTATAATAGTGAGCTCTTAGTGTTGTGGGGTTTTTTTGGGGTTTTTTTTTTTCCCCATTTTCTCCTAAATTGATTTGTAGTGGTAAGAACCAAATTCAAGACAGCAGATGCCTGCAGCTTCATCCAGCTTTTGAAGCCACAGTTATTTTTAGCAAATTCTTATTATGGGATTGGCTTAGCATTACACAGTGCCTTAAATCATGCTAAAAAGAGTAATTTATTCAAATGCTGAAAGCCTACAGATGATAAGGTACATCCGAGTCTTACGCTAGACATTATATTTCAGATTGATAATGGTAATTTAGGTGGATGCCAGTGGATAAGAGTTCCTCAGGTTGTTTTATACTCTCATACTGTTTTCCCCTGTCTGCCTAAAACTGAAACTCAGACTCCCATGTTGCCATTCCTTAAAATGTCTTTAATCAGTATAAATTAACAGGAACACCAGTACCATATTTGATAATGTCGGGGGGGGGGGTG